AATAATACGCTACGTTGTAGTTTCGAATGTATCATAGAATACTGAAGTTCTTCTAATAATGTCAACAGTAAACTAAATGAAACGATTAATATGCCACCTGAATGGCGTGTGTTCGATGACTGCTTTGCGGTTCATTATGCCCGCCATTTAATAATGTGGAGAACAACATACTGTTTTGTTGAATGGATTCGGATAAAAATTATTAGGGATATTACAGCGAAATTATTACTGTTACCTGTTTCACAATCGTTCGACTAATTGAACTATAGAATTCGATCGATTAACTACCCTGTATAAAAGTACTTTGATTTTCCTGTTGACTGGATTAAAATACACACGAACCTCATTTATTTAGCGCACAAGTTGAATACTGATGATTATTTATTAAAGCCCATTTATAAGGATTTACGAATGTTGACCATTTACAAATATTTACTGGGTTTTCGCTTGAGGATCGTACAGACTCGGGATTTATACCAAACTGTGCAATAAGTTATAACAAATAACCAGTGTAGCTAGATTTGCAATCTAGTTTGTCACATCACAGATCCAAGGATTGTTTTAAGTCCTTCAAATGTACTATAGAAATGTTTCAAATTGCATAACTTGTATCAATTAATTGGGAAATATTATCTTGAGTTACAAGTAAAAATATTAATATAATACCGTTTTTATGTGCATTACTTTTCTAAGTAAAAGTTACTAACTGTATTTTTTCGGGCGAATTCTAAAAAAAATGTCAATGAGTATAATATACTTTTTTGTGACTATTTAAACTATCATTCATTCGCATCGTTTTTTATGCATTCGTGGTATCATTGAATAGTACAATGTTTTTTCAAATTTTTACAACATATTTTATTCTACGTTTCTCTAATAAATATTCTAATACCTATCCCTTTCTGGAATATAATTTTTTTTATATATATAATAGAATAAATAGGAATTTTATGGTAATCAATTAATAACAGCTGTATTCAAACTTCATCTGTACAATATTACCTGTATGGTAATGTTAATACATTTTACCTGTAAATTGGTTTATTATTATAATATTATTATTTTCAATCCACGACAGTAGTATGAAACGTTAAAACAAAAATGTTTATATTTTTAATTTCCCTGTAATAATTTTCAGCTTTATTTTTGATTTTCATTTAACGTATTAAAGGGATTAGAAGCGGTGATTTTCTATTTTTTTTTTTTTTATTTCAGATATGCAGCTTTACAAATTAGATATTTTTTAATTCAAAAATATAGTGTTATTGTAAGAAATTAGAAAACATATTTAAATTCATCGAAAAGTAATCATGAAAAAATAGTTTTGCACATTTTAAAAATGTTAAGCTCATAATAATTAAAAATTAAGTTTTGCCGATTTCTAGGTTTTTAAATCATTTAGTTAATTTTTTCGAAATTTAGGAAGATTAAATCAAAAGAGTGCAGGGAAAGTTGATCACATGAAGATTTGATTACGAATTAATATGCGTGTTTATATTTCTTATCGCATCCCAGTAAACCCGTCAGAAAATGGGAATGAAAATACTAATAAAATATTGTACGTTACGTATGTTATTAGATACAGGAATCTACCGTTAGTCACTGCAGTTATCTATACTATACCATATTGCAGCGCTTTCTAACCTGTGGGTTGCAATCCAACATTAAGTCGTAAAATATTTTTGATTAATTGCTGTTCGTAAACTAATGAAAAGAAAAATATCTTACTTATAAATATATAATCATCATTGTATACATTAAAAACAGAATTGCGTTGAAGTCTATGATAAAACTATTTACAATAAAATTATTAATTATTGTATTATACTGATTATTTTTTTTTTTGACAGTCATCCAACAAACACAAAGGATACAAATGAGCCACTTTAGCATAAAGGTTGGGAAACAATGTCATTTAGTAGATACTAGCAGTGGTTTCTGGTCATTTCTAGTGGCCCATGCACACTAAGCGCTGGATTGTTTAATAAAGTTTTTGCTGTACGGAGATAAACAAGCAGCGGGAAAAAACATTGATTGTCGAAACACTACGATCCATAATTATATTACAATACATAATTGGGATCTGGTAATTTATCGAGCGATCGATAAACGTGACGGCCATAACTGTTTAGGGCGTAATAAATAGATCCATGTTAATTCGGACGCCGAATGTTACAGTAAAAGAGTATTCGACGTAGCACTGTGCCGAAGTGGTCATATCGTTTGTACGGTAATTTCAAAGGCATTCAGCGGACAATCGAGTTTCCACCCTCGGTAATAATATCGGTGTCGGCTTCACAACGATTCAAATCGATATCGTTCTTCGGCTGCAACTGTCGACGGCAGTAATGATAATAAAAATAATAGTACGACCAACGAAACACCTCAGTATGCGTCGCCGACCATTAATCATGTCGGCGGACATTTTCAGAATATATAAATGTTTATAACAGTCTGGTGCAGACGGCGAGAGACTAGTACGTGACACGTTTCACGGTGTAACTGCAGAATTAACGATATTATGAATATTATGTACGCGTCGGCGACATCATGATAATATTACATTGCTATATTCACTTTTATATTTAATGTACGACTGCCGGTCATAGGTATAACATCATTAATGTAAATAGTTCATTTATATTAGATGATTTGCGTAACGCTGTACGATGACCGGGTTGTTGATTAAAACGAATAGTAATGAACGTGCAGAGGACTTATGTTATAAAAGTTTGAAGATGTTATTAAACTCGATTCGGACTTATTTTCAAATGATTTTAATCGTCACAAACACAAACCTATCTTATTGCTTCGGTATTTCTACAGCTAAGTACAGGATTAAGTGGGTGTTTTAAATGACGAAAACTTAATCAAATATAATTGAATTTCGTATATATATATATAATAACTACACTTATTTACGACGTCGGCAGACAGAATAAACAACACATTAACAGTGAATAGCTTTACTCGGATAAATTATTTATTCCAGTAACCGTATTACAATGGTGTATTCGAGAAAATTAGGAAATGATTTTCTAGAAATGTGTTCGTTTTTTCTTAAATTTGATGTTTTATGAACTTTTGGGTCGCAGTGTTTATTTATTCACCTAAATGGTACCTATGGAATATTTACATAGTTATAAAATTCATTACAAATAGAACTCAATTATAGGTGATACAAGAAATAAATAGTCCAGTTTTCTCAATATGATTTCAATGGTTAACTTTATACTATTTCCTACTCTCATTATGAATTCTTTTAAGAAGAAAATTATTTTTTTTACTCATTTATTTAAATTATTTTACCAAATTTATATATTGTGTATTAAGATTAGATAGAAGTCTTGTTTTGATTATGTCATCATTATCAGTACTTGAATCGATGTAGGTTATTTGAATAATGGTAGGTTGTAAATTTATAAATCTCATCGTCCAACTCTATAAGACATACAAATAAATTTCTTTTATAATATAATATTTACCGATTTCAAAAGCTCGAATTGAAGTATGATGATGTAGATAAGTAGTTGTATAGGGTTGTAATATATACAGTTATATATGGTGTATTTATAATAAAATATGTATATGTACATTGTATATTAAAAGTTATTCTCGGTATATTTTTGAACATTGAAAATGTGTATTTTTAGTGCAGGCGTGAACGAATATATGATTCATAGGGGACTGGACAAAAATTACGATCGTATACAATAACTGTTCTGCTGTTTACAGACAACTTTATTAATGCTTTTTTTGTGACGATAACGAAAACTTAAAATGGGTTGTACTAAATTACTAACTTTCCACCAAATTTCACGATAATCGGCTAATGACGCACCTGTGTATACTTAAATATTGTGCATAATTAAAACAAATCTTGTAAAATTCAGCTGGTCTTGTATTGATCGTGTCCCTTAAAAAATCTTATGAAAGAAACCCTTTGCTGAGGTGTATATATTAAAATTGTTGTCGGATTAAATGTTTGTCCAAACATAGAAAACGTAATTGAAATTTTCTGCGTTTCGCGGGAAAAATATTAAACCATTAAATATGCCTATATGTTTTTGGGATCCCTGTTGGTTGCGGTAAAGTGTTATAATTCAATATGTAGTTGGCGAGAAAAAACCTTCGAAAAGCTAGAATTTTATTACCATCACCTATTCCAATATCATTATTACTTTTGACGACAATTACGGTGCAAAAATCATTAAAAAAAAAAAAAAAAAAAACGATAAATTATGTGTTTAGCTACACGTAAACATACATGTTAAAATGTATGTCATGATTTTCATACACTGTTACACCTTCTGTTTGAATCTTTAATTCTTATGGTAAAAATCAGAAGTGCAATTAGTCATATCTATCAGGGCTAAACGATGAATTATAAGGTTTTCATTCCGAGTGTTTGTTCAATGCGTGCAATTAATTTTCGGTGTCGTGTATTTCAATACATCTTACCATATTGGTTTCACTATCTGAGGCAATTCACTATGAGAACTTAGCACTTAGGAAAGCCCAGCTTGACAGTATTATGATTCCACTCTTAATTCCTTGTTGACAGGCACCGATAGATTAAGTGTCTTTCTATCTGGACGAATATTATATCATACCCTTCTCTGGTATTCCTCTAAGATAAATTTTCTCGCTTCTGATTAAAATCACATTTTATATCTAGGTGAACACTACAGAACTCATTTCAGTAGAATTCGTGAAATTATTTATGCCTATTGGTTTTGCTATAAGCTATCTACTCTTACTCTACAGCTAAGTGTTTCTTTCTTTAATTCATATCGAAAAATTAAAAATAAAACCCTCATTACTATAAATATTTTATTCTATTGGTATTTTTAAAAAATTAAGTAGTTATATTTTATACATGGTAAAATAAAATTCTTTAGGCGATATTTGAAAATGAGTGCATAATAATATTGTGATGTACTATGGATTTATTTGTATTTCATGTTTAATAATATTTGTCAATATGTATAATGTTACAGGCAAACCAGATGTTTTGGCTGCAGGTATCACTCTGTTGATGATGGTTCTTTTAGCAGCTGGTGTTAAGAAAAGTTTAATGTTTAACCATCTGATGAATGCCATCAACTTGGCAGCGTGGGTGTTTCTTATAAGCGCCGGTTTGTTTTACGTAAATCTCGATAACTGGACAAAGAACGATGGATTTCTACCCAACGGATGGGGTGGGGTAAGTTCGTCAAACATTTTTTGAATGTATATTGAGAAGTTCGTATAGTAGTCATACTAATTATTATTAAGCATTGACTTTTTTCTGTAAAATAATGTGGCCAATTTTTTTTTTTTTTTTTTTGAGCGTCGGTTCGCAAAAACTGCATTCACTACGACGTATTATATGGCACGGGACATGCGACGCACTATATAATATTATAACATGCATTTAATTAATATTGATGGAATCAAGTATACAAGTGTGATAAGTGACATTCTCGGTAAAACGTGTTGAGCATGAGCTATTAATTACATGTTGTGTACTACACCACTAGAGTTGATATTTTAACGTCTAAACTATTATTAAGTTTAAAATTTGTTTGACATGTGGTTTTTACGATAAAAATAAAAATAAAACAAAATTAAGTTTCTATGGTACGATTATAAAAAAAATACTATCACTTATATTACCTGTGCGCTATGCCATCGATTATACGACAATATTATAATTTAAATAAAATTGACAAAACAAAAACGTATGTTAACGTTTATATTATAAAACGTATAACTTTGGAGTTTTCCGGAGCATTATCATGCTGTGGTATAAATTAATATTTGTATTCAAAACACTAGAAGTACTTATGAACACGTTTGATTGAAAAATCAAATGAATTAAACATTTTTGATAAAAATGAGAGATGGATTTATAAACAAAATATACCTACATACATCATCATGAAATCATGAAAGGGATACGGCCATGAAATAATAAATGCTAGTAGGTACCAAATGTTGTTAATGCTTTATTTTCATTATTATTTACCTACTCACTGAATCTCAAAATGTTCCCCATGATTTCCATTCGGTTACTGTAGTTATGATGTAGAAATATTTGTCATACCGGTTATCAATAAGCTAATGGTTAGACTTTTAGTGAAATCATCAATACATTTTATAAATCCTCTGGTATTTTTTAACACATTATTTAATATTCTGCATATAATTGTAATATTTTTATAATAGTTGTATATTTTTATAGGATAATGTAAAGATACATTTTACAGTTTTGTCATACTTATAATTTTGTTCTTAGCGGATCGTTTTGGTTAAACAATAAAATTATCGTATTTTAGTAGCCGACGAAATCATAAAATGTTTAAATTATAAACAAAAGAACAATATTCTATAATTAATGACAAAATATTTTTTTGGGCTTAGGACTTATATTTTCAAATTGATTTATTTTGTGTCCGATAATTTATCTCCTTTGTTGATTAAAGTAAATCCGCACTATTGGTTTGAAGAAAGAAGAGAAAATCTAAACGTACTTGAATTCTATACAATTTTAATCTAATATAAATACAGATGTGTACGTATACAGGATGGTCTTGTGAAATATATTATTCATCCTAAACGTTTTTATTGCAATTCACTGTAATGTTGTAATGTTGAAAAAAATTTCTTTAATGGCAAAGTAATCTATGTGTTTGCCTTTCAAAATCGATAAGTGGGTACCAGACGTCGGATAATTTTGATGTATAATGCTAACTGTGTTCGCCAATCATTTTGGAGAAAAGACGAGTACGAGCCGTCAACAGGCAACGATATAACAGATGCAATTTTCGTACTACTCCTAAGCATAAATAAGATCGTCTATATTTCAGAATATATATATACGACAAAGACGTATATTATTTATACGAGGTGATTTATTGTTTAAACAAAAACAACAATTATAACTCCCCCAACAGTCCGAAAACTAAACGTTTATTCTATTCAAGAACCATATGTCACGGTGGTAAATTTTAAACTAAAACATTGGGTTGTATTTAACTAGTTGCAAATAGAGTTATACTGAACTGTCGGGAGAATTAAATTTTACACGCCCATTACATTGGGTGTACATTGGATTTGTAGAACATTTAATTAAAATACCAAAGTAAACCGTATGTAAACACTCAAAAAGTATTGTGTTTTAAGAATAAAAAAGATTTTTCCTCGTACATAAACTTGAGAGTGGAAGGCACACGGCAATAAATTATCCTTGTATGGTAGACACTGGTCTAATAACACTGTTGAGAATAGTCACCTCGTTTTTACGACTCCGCATCCTCAGTTCAGTTGATTATGAGCTTCTTTTCAGTCTTTTTTTATTTTATTTTTTTATTGATCCCATAGGAACTCCACATCCCCGTTTGTGTTAACAAAACTTATTTATACGTCTTGTACTTACGTGTTAACAAAACCAATTTTTACGTCTTAAAATACCTCAATGTTCTTAAATCGAGAATCATAAATTTACGTAAAACAAAAATCTTCAATTTACGTGTAACAGCAGAGAAATAAAAGTAAATTTGCCAATAAAAATAAATCAAGTTCGTAGAATAAATACACGACTAGTGCTTTTATAAGAAAAAAATTATAATAATCACAATAGTATTGAACTATATTTAATTACTTAAAGTTGCATATTTTAATTATTTTCAATTTATATTTTTTATAGAAGCTGTATGAAATTATACGACATCATTTTAAACGTTGTGGATAGAATACTAATTTAATTTCTATTATATTTCCAATTTAAATTAATATTTGTATCAAGTATTTTAAATCTTTAGGAAATATACTGAGATAAAAATATAATGTAGCTCAAATAAAAGTGTCTAATATGATTAATAATGCAAACTCTCACATATCTAATATATAATCAAAATAATGTTAAAAAAAAAAAAAAAAAAAATACTTTAAAAATTATATCCATCTACAGAAAAATGATCAACAATTTATTTGGTCTCAATTTAATTATAAATTCCAGTATGGTAATAGATCTTTAGGTTATTAACCCTTTCAGGCCCACATTATTTTGGATAGAATTTTTTCTTTTTCTTTTAATTATATGCTTTAATATGGTATAATTAAGGTTTTTTATGAGTTTCATAATTTTTGAATTTTTTTTTACCAAGTTACAAGTAGGTACACTGTAATGTACCTTGGGCCTCAATATATATCTTAATTTAATCAGACGTCCTAATTTTTTATAGTTGTGGTATACTACGGTGTACTTTGGGTCTGAGCGGGTTAAGTCATTTTCTATAATTAAGTAAGTTATTATTCTATTAAATTACTCATTTAAGTAATATGAGTACGAACTATTTTATATTATTAGAATTAAATCAATTCTAATTGATATTTTTAAACAGTAGGAACGAGTACAAATACGTAAAGCCTCAACTGCAACTAAAAGTTCTAAATTATTTTGAAATTATTTAGTTTTACATACATATTTTTTATATTAATATATAATATATATTCGTATTTAATATTTATTATATTCATACCAATTAATAAAGTAAACGTTATGATACTTGTTTTGATTTTGTTTCTTAAAGTAATTTAGCAGTTTCTTGACTGTTATGTGTACAAAGTAACGAAGTTTAATTATTTGTAATTACATTTTTTGCTGAAAATAATATTTTATTATGATTAAAAATAAAATAAAATTGTTTGTTAGTATTCTGCATAAGTGGAACAAATAAAAATTTCCTTGAGAAATGCCTGGAGTATATTTGTTGTGTATTACATATGTCTTGAGATATAAAAAAAAAAACCACATTACAAAACCAATTTTCTTTAATATGTATTTGTTTATATATTTTTATCCAATATGTGTGATTCTATTCTAGCAAATATTAAAAATTGGTATAAATAACGTTAATTCGTTTACCTCTAGGGACCAATATTAAATTTTGTTAAAAAAAAATATGAGATACAAAATTATAGATTATTTACTAAGAAAATTTTGAAAAGATCAAACTGCTATTGTTATGCGATAATTTTTAAAATAAATCTTTTTAGAAAATTACAGTTACATTATTTTTAGTAGACTTAAATTAATTTAAATTGGTTAATTTTAAAAATAGCATTAAAAATAAATCAGAGATTAATTAAATATTCTGTATGTTATCTGTAAAATAAATTATTTAAAGGTTTGATAAAAAAAGATCCATGCATAAATTTAATTTTGTTTATATTTTAATATCATGAGTTTCATATAAATATGGTATAATGTGTGTATTGTTTGTACTTTATATATATATATATATAATATATTATTTGTAATAATATATTATTAAGGTTATATTTTTTTATTGGCTATAATCTGTAAAACTACTAATAAATTACAATAATTACAATAATCCAAATAATTTTGAATATTAATTTACATGGTTGTTTTTAAAATATTTAAGTTGATGATGCATCATTTTTAAAAGTAATTAATTTCTTCACCAACCATTTAAATATTCAATCTGGTTTTAAATTTCACACTAAGTGAAGAAAGTTGCAAATATTGGGAATTTCGATTAAAAATTTAAAAAAAAAAAGTAAATGGTATGATTTTAATTTTATATATTTTCACTAGAATATTTAAATCTAGAATAGAAGATTTTTAATTTGTTCACTGTTATTAATTTTAAAAAGTATGATTCTATAGAAAATTGTTAAAATTTTCTAAATAATTATTAGAATTAAATAATTTTAAGTACATTTCAATATGAATTTTAATGCATTTTATGGATTTTGAATGTTATTTTAAACCATTATAATTTATATATGAATCTAAAAAGGTAAAAAACTACTTTATAGATAAGATATTATTAATTTATTTATAGATAAAATGAAAAGTCGTGATATCTATGTACAAGATAGTTTATCTAATGATGAAATTATTATAAATGGTATATCAAGGCTGGGTATTAAAGAGTTAAAAATTAAAATTAAGTTATATTGTTAAGTTAATATTAACTAGGTTAGTTATTCGTCACTTTAGTTTCAAAATAACTGTTAGTTTAAAAAGTTACTTTTTTAATGTATATAAAGTGTTAACTTCAAGTTAATTTTACATAAAAATAAAAATTAAGTTACATTTTTATATAAACAAATTTTCAAGTAGTTTTGTTTATTTTTGTTCATTCTTGATTAGTAAATTTATATAAACATGTATGATTTATAAAAAAAAGGATACAGATACAAATAAAATTTCAAATCATATGTGTCTAATTGCCATTTTATATTCATTTTATGGATCGTTTTAACCAAACACATGCAATGGTCACTACAATGGTTAAATAATTTTATTTGATACTTAAAGATTAATTAAACAGACGTTAGTTTGACCTTACATAAATAAATATGAAATGCTAAACACAACCTTCATTTTAAGCTGTCAGATCGCAACACATAAAAATACTTTCGTGACTTAGTACGGTATTTTATTCATTATTGTTTTTTTTTTAGAGTTTTTATTAAGGTGTATGCGAAATTTGAATGTGATATTTTGTGGTAAAAAACAAATTTTATTAAAATATGCTTGTATCCATTATTTGAATATTTACTTTACAATTATATAATGAACACATATTTTTAAAATAATAATAGTTTTATTTTTAAAATTTTCACAAAAATCTAATATACATTTAAGCATAATAAAGGATTGTGGTAAAAAATATTAGAATTTGTAAAATTAGCTAAGCTACAAAATATGCATGTATTTTATTGAATATTGAATATTTAATGAATTTACATGGGGAAAATATACGCTGTTTTAAATGTATAAATTATATACAAATTTATTTAAAAATTAAATGTATGTAAATATTATGTTTCATTTCTGTTAAACCTAAATGAAAATCGTTGAAATTACAATAAAAAGTGTATTTGTATGTTTCATGTTTATGGAATAATAATTAAGTTTTGTGTTGTATTAGATTTTTAATAAATTAATTTCCTTTTAATTTAGGTATTTAAAGGAGCAGCAACTTGTTTTTATGCTTTTATCGGATTTGACATCATTGCTACCACCGGCGAAGAAGCTCACAACCCGAAAAAATCTATTCCGCTTGCTATCATGGCTAGTCTGGTTATTATTCTTGTTGCTTACGTGAGCTCTTCAATAATTCTCACATTAATAGGTAAGTTTATAGATTGAGGATACATATAATACCATTATTATATTTACTATTTTTGTTATATCGAGTTACTTTATAATTTATGAGTTAATAGTGGAATTAAAATAATAATTATATTGATTGAAAGATAAAATATTTTTTATGATAACTTTTTTGATTTCTTTTAGTTGCTTATGTATTCATGAAACCGTGTTATAAAATAATATATCATTTATAAGTACAGAACAGATACCTACTTATTTAAATTATGTAAGCTATCAATCAGTAAAAAAAATTTTAAATATTATTTTATCATTGTAATTTATGTATACAATTTTTTTCAATTTAATCAGAATATTGAAAAGAGCATTTTTTCAAAGAGGAAATACGATTTACTATGTTTATTTATATTATTTAACTTATCATTAATGAAAAATGTGCATATTATCTATAGTCTAATCATCTTAAATTTGATGTATCTTTTATACATACTTATGACAACGTCATAATTTAGTTGTACTCTAAATATTTTAACCTTTTATCTATTTTTTTATTGGTAAAATAAGTTGAAAAGTTGATTAAACCGTTTCTATGTTATATAATTTCTTTCGATCTCACGAAAAATAATTGTCCATCAGTTTATTTTAATGTATTAGAAATTCCGATTGTGATAAAAAGTAAAATTTAAATGATATTTGTGAAAAAAAAATATATATATAATTTCTATATACTAAAGCAATAAGATTTATTCAGATTAAACCAGTAAAAAATGTGTGACACGCCTTAAAAAATATAATCCGAACATAATAGCAATAAAATAAAATATAATTGAAACAACTTATGTAACTTAATTTTAAAAAACTATTTAAAACTAAAAGTGAATATATAGTAAATTAAAATCAATTTAATAACTTAAATAATCGTTTATATTAAGACTATTGGAAAATGGTTTACCATGTAGAGTCAAAATAATTTATTAATCAATTTAGCTTTAATTTATAATGTACAAACAGTCGGGAGTTACAAATATTATAGATAATATTGAGCTTGTGTTGATACTTATGTTTATTTATTGGAATAAGTTAAAACCTATGGAATATTGAACTAAACCATTATATTGTCAATATCAACAATTCTATAATATAACTTTATACATGAACTGTGCATTTTGTTGTTAACTATATTATTGGTTTCATAACTTGCAGAAAAAGAGCACTTAAAGATCCAATAACTGACTACTAGAAAATAATCATAACATGATATAAATACAGACTTAGAAAAATAAAATTACTAAAATAACTAATACATAACTTTAGTTTTTGATGAGTTATACAATGAAATAAAAAAATATAATAATAATATTTTAAAATGCGCAAACTGATTTTAAAAATAAAATCTTGTGTGAATAAATTTCAGATAATAATAAATATAACTAAAGTATTTATATTTCTTAATATATTTTTGTTCGATAAAAATTAATTTAAATTACTTTTTCTTATTAAAATGAAGTCAATTTTAAAAATGACCAATTTTTCTCAATGTATTCCTTCGTTAATTTTTTCTTATCCAGTCACGATTTTATTATTTATGAAACATAAAATGTGTTTGAAAATGTTTTACTCACCTATCAGATCAAAAATTAAATTAGGTACTGTTTTTAAAATCAAAAAATGATTTAAGTTTTAACAGATGGTTTTACAGTAAAATATAGATATTAAATTTTTGTGTTATTAATATTTAATTTAAGAAGGATGTTTACTGTTATTAATTTACTCAAACATGAGAATAACGACCAACAATAAGTCGAGTTTCGTTATAACTTATGAACTATAAAATGTCTCCTACTTATTTCACCGGAAATGACACACAGTTCTTACGTCAAAAGACCGATAGTCATAATTTGTATAAATTGATTTTATAATTAATCAGGTTTGTCTTAAAACGTAATTGGAGGGTGATAATCCAAAACGTGGTATATCAAAAATATAGAAAATCGAGATAAAAATCGATTCTAGATTTAAAATACACGAGAAATTTAAATCTGGCCTAAAATTCGATTTATATCGATTATTTCTATGAAAAAAATCAATTTCAAAACCACTATTCAATTCAAAACCTGTTATTGCCATGTTTAAACCAAAACGCTGTATTTCTCGTGTTACTTTTATAGGATCTCATTTCATGTCATAATAAAACATGATATTGCCATTTTACATTATTTAAACATATAAGTCAGCTTACTTTTATTTAATAATAATAATATGATTAACAATAATCATTATTAAATCAAATAGTGTATACTAAAAATAATAAATTCATATTGTCAATAACTGTCATAAATATTTCCGGCAATACCACATTTTTGCCTGTTCACACTTTTTAGAAGGATTGTAACTATATTTTAAACTCTAAATAGATTTATTTTGACACCGACAATCGTTTTTTTTTTAATTTTTTACATTAAACTACATCACAAAGTAATATCTACGGCTCATAATTATTATTATATTGGTTCATTTTCGTCCTTTGGAGTGAGTCAAACAGCCGCCACATTTCAGTTTGAAAATTAAAAAAAAAAAAAAGATGGTAATCATTTGATTTGAAATCCGTTTCAATAAATTACTTTTGCCATGATCGTTCACTACAGCCGATGATCCAACAATTAAGCTAGAGTCGTTCGGCCGACACACACGTCTCGCGGTGTATCGATTTACAAAGCAACCGATTGATTTGTCAATTCGATTTTCAAGTTCCGTACACGAAAATCGACGAGAACGCCGCACTTCTGGACATGTTTGTACAAGTGGGCGCGCCCAGGTGTCAGATGATCGTGGCCGCGGGCGCGATGGCCGGACTGCTGGTGAGCATGTTCGGTTCCATGTTCCCCATGCCCAGGATCATCTACTCGATGGCCCAAGACGGTCTGCTGTTTAAGTAAGCTGGCTGACGTTCAAGGCATACGCGGTTAAATGTTTCGTTGAAAAACGTTGAAAAATGTTGTTGTAACAGGTCACTCAGTCAGGTGTTCCCGTTGACCGGCACCCCGGTAGTGGCCACGGTGATATCCGGAGTGGCTTCCGCAATAGCCGCTCTCGTCATCAACTTGGACACTCTTATCGAAATGATGTCCATCGGTAAGTACGTGCGCACAGAGATGTGCTGTTCGGTGAACATTATCGTCATTATAATTATAATTTTATTTGATTTTTTTCGAGAACACCTAGTGTTGGTGTTTAATGTTGATTTAATACAAATTCATAACTAAATACAAAGGTTTTGATTATAATGTTTAGGTTAAATTATGGATGTTTACGAGTTGAATTTCAAAGGCTTTTAACCAATCGGTTGTCATTTATATACGTTTCTAAACAACTTAACTTATCGATTAAATAATTGTCTAACTATAGCCACGATTTATATGTAGTAAAAATTTATAAAACATTACTGTGTATATATATATATATATATATATTCGTATATACACGAAACAATTACTTGGTGTTTTAATTTTTAAAAATAAATGACCTTTTGTCAGACCTTTATACGTTCTTATATTTAGTTAAACTTCTTTCGACATCATAAAACGTAATTTTTGCATATTTTAATTTTGTACTTTCCTCTGGAATACAATTCAGTAGATCTTCATCCACAGTAGTTGCATTTAAAATATTACTTATTATGTACGTAGATTGTTGTCCTTTATATTTTTCTAACACACTTTTTCGTTGACTAATTCCGCAACGATTACTTCGTTTTGGCCAAGTTTAGATATGATATTTTTACAGTCTTTAAACTTTTATCGAGTAGTAGTGAAGTATACTTCAATCTTAAAATACATTTAGAGATAAAGCCAAAATTAATTTTTTTATAAGCTAAATTATTTTTTTATACTTCTATTTTCAAATAATTCCATAATATTTATAATCAAATTAGTAGTATTTCGTATAAAAACAAAATCATCATAAAATTTAAAATATTTGCATAATACGATGCGGTATTTAGACAACTTCTCCATCACGTAAGTATATAGTAAAGGGCTCAAGTTTAATTTTGGAAATATATCTCGAGGTTTCAATACACGATTTGGAGCTTTCAGAAATAATTTTCAACACAACTTATAATTTGGTCAATGTTCAGATACTCGAGCCTTATTGTATTAAATGCTAGGTCAGCACGAGCTACGTGTACATTATTTGAAAGCAAAATAGATAATTAATCGTTTTATGGCACAGCGTCTGTTAGAAAAAAAAAAAAAAAAAACTTTATTTTATTTAATCCCGTTCGGCCAAGGTATATTCAACGTAACGTTTACTAATTTCTCTACAGTTTGATAATTGCATTTTGGAAGTTCCTCACAAGTGATTATGTATGACTTGAAACATTTTGTCTTCGAACATACGACCAACTAAAGTATTAGTTACGTACCTACCCTGTCAGCGTTCTTTGTTTCATTAATTGAAATATTTATGGACCCTGCTAAAGTTTCTTTGTGAATATGGTCAATTATTTTAAAGTAAAAGAACTGATGAAATTTTTTTTCGAATTGTAAATTGATCCGAAATATTTTTACCAGTATAATTTTCCAAAAAAATGTTATTAAGTTGTATCATGCAATTTTCATAAGGGGATATTCGAAGCTAAAAATACAAAACAAAATATGGTTGATCACATAAAATATAAGTAATCCGGTCGTATAAATAATCCATGATTTTTTTAAATTCCGGGAGCGAAGCTAATTTACACAGATATTTTTTTTCCATGATCAAACTTTTTGGTAGTTTAATGCACCAAAAGTTTTATTCAGTGTCCCGTTGTATCGAAAATAAAACATGGAAAGTAATTTTAAGAAGTCATTATTCGATTTTCCGAGTAATTTTCCTAATCCGAAAGATAAACCTAAAACTTTTTAAAAATGCTGAGTTTTACGAAGTAACCCGTTTAAAAGTAGTTACTTTCAATAGCAAAAATAATTTGTTAGTTATATATTTCGTAAAAATGAAAAGAGTGATTTATCTATCGAGCGATTTAATATAGTGTAAAACTGTATTCAATTTGTTTGTAATATCCTATACAATTTTGAAATAACTTTAAACTGTGAACGAAATAACATTATGATTAAATATATTTTTATTCAATACCTTAGAGAAGAAATAAATTATAAGGAAAATAAAATTCTAAAAAGAAATATTTAAGTATTGTGTGGTAAATATGAATGTGTAGCAACTTATAATTATAATATTAAAAATCTTTTTCTAGTCTAGAGTTTCAAATCCAGCTTTGTAACATTTACATTGAAATAATCGAATTTCAATTTCTTTCCAATACTTTTTTTAATAATATAGCTTTTATGGCTCTCATTCATGAAGAGAAAATTGTTCAAGCTAATAAAAATCCAATGTAAATCGGTCTAGCGTTATAGAGATATGCGATTATATCTAGAGTCCATCATATGCAGTAATATTTTGATATCTCATTAATCTTATATCAGCAAAGCGAATACCGTTAGGTACAGTTGAGTCGCTTTTCGATCAATGTAACATTAGAAGAGGAATTCTCATCGGTTAAGGAGTCAGCTTGAACTGTATTGTTCGTATTGAAAGAAGGGTTCAATGTATATTGCAACACTTATGATGGTATTTGGAAAAAATAGTCATCTCCTGATTGCACCACACCTATTGTTCTTTGAAATGAATCCTCGAGCACTAAGTAATTTTTTCAGATCCATCGAAAATAGATTTTTAAAATCGATATTTTTTATCTCTCTGTTAACGTGGACTATATTGTATAATAATAAAATATTTTATTAACATAATTAATTAATACAAGTAGTAGCATATACGTACAGAAATGGTATTAATTTTGCAAGTGGTATTAATAATACGGGTTTGTTCAGAATTATGTATAATATATTTTAATTTGAAAATATGTATTTATGAAGTATTGTTTCCCCGAGCAAATGAACGAAGCGTTAGATGTATAATTATATAGTTGTTATAAGGGTTTAATCTACAATTTGTCAGTGAATTAACAGTGGTGTTTCGGTTTATTCAACGAGAGAATTTCAATAATATCTGTTAGGAATGTAAATGGTTGAATTATTACGGTAAAGCGTTTACACTTTATAGTGCTACCACTATAAAGTATCTGTATAAATATCTGAAACATGGTTAATAGAGAAAAAAATGAATAGTTGATAAAACACAGACCGTCCCAGCATGTTTGCTCGAAGGAAATATCTCCATAAAATATGTTTTTTTTTTCAATTTGTTTTTGAGAAATATGTTATGAATAGCATGATTTCGAATTCACATTTTTCCGATCTTTAAGTATACTTTGTATTTTTAATTTCTATAAAATAACAAAGTTGTTATATTTTACAAAATAATTGGTTATGACAATTTTAGAATAACGCGGTTTAAAATCCAATAGTTAGTGTTATAGTTAATGTTAATGTAAGTTTTGAAAAGGTACAACTGAAACCACAATAATATATAAGTAAATAAACCCATCAATGTAACTAAAACGATATAGAAATTACCTAATATATACTAATACATCGCAATTGTCATATTACCTAATGTTGTACGCGCGTATTCCTTCTTTTTAAAACTTACATTAGCTGACTATAAATCCTTTAATTGGGTTTTTCAATCGTCATACTTGAAAAACATTTGTAATCGACTTGTTCCATAAAATGACTATTTCCGCATCCGACAGATAAGTAACAGTAAATTTTCTTTGCCGGTTAAAAAGTATAAGAATACAGATTTTATATTATAAATGTACGGTTTGATTATTTATAGTGCAGGTGCCAAATAAAATAAGAAAAATAATAAAAATTAAAACATTATTTCCAAACCTGCTGGTATGTAATCGTAAAAATATATAAAAAAATCCATCGTCGAATATCGTCAACGGTAATAATCACGGTGATTGAACTGTTCACGGCCGTGTGTTTCGACGTCGCATTTCTAGCACTGGATTTATAGATTGACCGACGTCACCGAGCGTTTAGAGCAACCATACTCAACCTTTTTTTTTATTTGGGCCACATAAAATATTTTAAAATATTTTACGGTCTGCAAGTCGAGATGAACGGAATGAAAATGAAAAAAAAAAAAATAAAATAAAAATAAACTGAATTATTTATTCAAATTAATGTGAATATTTATATCGAGAGAGTTTTTTCACTATTTTGGTTATATCTGGTTTGTAGTTGCTGCATGTGCTACTTTTAACAAATCGTCCAAACGCGAATTAGTAATCCGATTTCATTCTTGAATTTGTGACACATTTTGATTGTTTTGTTATACTAGGATTGTAAAATTTCATGAAATATATAATTTGAGTGAAAAATAAAATTTTTGTTTCATTTCAGTAAAAATATCATGCTTTATGTTTTATTTTTTATGAAGTACTTTTTGTATTATTAATTGTACTAAATAGAAATAAAAACTAATTTATATAAATTAACAATTAACACCATATTAGTTTATAGTTATTATAATTTATAAATATTGATTTAAGAGGTAAGAGACCAATAGTCATTGAAACAACTGAAGACATTTTACAAAATATAGATGAATTTATAAATAAGTTGCCAATAGTCCCATTACTCATCAGCTATCACATTATTTCAGAAGTTTCCCATCAAAAAAATATATCGGTACCTATTGAGTTTAAAAGTTAAGCACATATTTATAAAATTTATTGTGAATATTGTGAAACACAATATTATACCAGCATCTGGAAATTTTTTTAAAGAAAGATGAAAATTACAATTCAATATTGGAATACAATACTGAATTGTATTTATATACAAATAATAAATAAAATAAATATGTATAATTATGTATAAAAGATAATAAACATAATGTAATTAAACAAATTTAATTTAATAAAAAATAAAAATTATCTCCTTTGTGTATTTACACAAATAACTTATCAGTATCAAATATGAAATCAAAATAATTAGCCATTAGGTAAATATACATTTTTAAATATTAACTATTGAAAGTACGGAAATTAAAATTAAAATGACTGAACTCATATAATATAAATATATTAATTAAAGATAACAATATAATAAAATAAAAATAAGCTCATTTGCATAGTTAAACAAATTATAAATTAGGGACGTATAATGGTCCTCATTAATATACTCAAGAAAGTATGGAAATTAAAATTTAGATGGCTAAAGACACTTCAGAAAATTTTACTAATAACATGTACATAAATCACAGGCGATTAGAACTATTACTTATTAGACGAATATTATCATAAAAATAGCTGCTATCAATAATAATGTGCCGGTTTTATCGTTACTACATATATTTATTAATATTAAACATATCTGTGGTCATTACCTATTTATAGCCAGCTGATAGACTATACCACGTAAAATGGGAAAGTCCAAGATTGTACCGAAACGATATCAAACAATATCAACTGATTAAATGACATTTGACGGTCACTATCTCAAACGTTAAAAACAAATATTTTTCAATATTTCATTGAAATATTTCATTAAGCGTGACATTTTCAATTATGAAATACTTCATGTGAAATATTTAAAATGTACAACCCTAGTCATACCTATTTTATGTTTATGATATAAGTTTTGAAATGTATATTTTATTATCGATTCCGATGAGTTCTGTATGGGCCGCATATAAATCGTTGGAGGGCCGCAGGTTGAGTATCGCTGGTCTAGAGCTTATCGGACGGCAAATCCGGTCGGTCGTATTTGTTATGCGGTACGTTATTTTTTTTTTTTTAACAGTTAGATTTTTGAAATACTTTAACTTTTGGAAAAATGAATCCAAACATCGTAAACCCCTTAACACGTACGTGTTGTTTACGCGATCAATTAAAACGGAGATATCAGGTGCGCCCTGTAATCGTAGACCGACCGATCGAACGAGAATTCTCTGTCGATATTGATCGTTGCAACATCTTTAACGCATACAAAACATTAAACGCATAGAACTAAACGAACGAATCGCGACGCGAAGGAAACATTTTAACGCGCCCAATATCGTCGATTCGTGTACGGCCCTTCGAACTGCAGTGTTCTGTTGTGTTTTTCGAAGGCACGCTGTTCGCGTACACGCTGGTCTCGACGTGCGTGCTGATACTCCGGTACCAACCGCAGACGTCCACCGTCATACACTTCTTCCCGGAGTCGATGCGGTCGCCGGCGAACGCGGCGCCCAAGCAGATGGTCACCAACGGACGGGTAAACTTCGTAAATGACCGGCACCGCGATCCGCACGCGTCCGCCGTCGCTGATCGTTCTGTTTTTTTTTTTTTTTTCCTGTTGCGCAGGTGGTGCCGGACGACCAGAGGTACGCGTACACGAACCAGGGCTACGGCACCGGGCAGACGTCGTTCTACCAGACCCAGCTGCCGTTGCCCCAGCAGATCATACCGTCGCAGAGGATAACGGTCCGAAAGGTAACTAGAAGGTAAACGAAACGATCTGTACTCATTATTCAATAACGCCGTTCTCGCTCGACCGTACCGTCGTGTTCGTGTTCTATTATTGTCATTATCAATGATGACCGGAAAGGTTTCCGTTCGAAAACCTTAAAATCAACCGTACCGTAAAGGTCAATTCAGAGAGTACTTGCGTAAAAAATAACTCGAGCTCAAATTCTAATCGATTTAATTTATATTTATATTATTTTCACGTTTATAAATTCAGAATCGGTGACGATTTAAATCTAAGCGTATTTTTTTATGTATACTATAAAAGTTTTAAATTAATTTAGAAAACATTTTGGATAAGTAATTTTTTTGCAAGGGCATATTTTTATGTTTATTGGGCATATCTGAGCACGTTTTTTAGTGACTTTAAGGTCATAAACATCCCTAATTATTAGCGCGCGCGATCGTACAACGTTCCCGTTTCCTCGCCACCCGTCACAACGCATCGTCATCGAGTTTTAGAAGCGTTTCATATTCCAATATCCAACGCTCACCGTACGTTTTTTTTTTTTTTTTGTACGAATTCAGCGTACTCGTCTATCGCGCATTTCATTCGTCCTTGTTCGGTCATTTATAAATTTTTACGGAAGTCGACATTCAAAGTGCACGTTAAAATGTAAAAAACGTAAAAATGTATATTTTACCCAAAATATATATGGTAAGTATTTTTAGATTTATGGAAAAAATACGTCATGATATAATTTAAAAAATAAATAAATTATCTTATATACGTACATGTTCTATGTCAATACACACAAATATTTTACTTTTAACTAAAAAAATGAAAAAAATATCATAGTGTTTCTTATTTTTATGTCATGTAATAAACTCTATGTTCGAAACAAATCATTAACACAGTTCCACATCGTGGATTACTTTTTATTAAAATTCCCCTATTCATCCAATGATTACTTTTCATTAATCAACATACGTATTTCGTTAGTTATCAAGTGATAATTTAAATTTTTTCTTATTTTCTTCTTCATTATCTTTCCATTCGAAAATCACTCCCTCACCCTTTTTTTCGCTATCACTTTTAACTTCTATTTCTGTTTTTCATTTTTATCCATCATTAATTAAATTATATATTGGTTCCAGAGAAGTGTAGGGAAGGTTCAAATTTTATGTAAGCATCAAAGATTGTACATATTGAGCGAGGAGTGTATTCAATTATCGGTAATGGGACCAAACTCGACACAATTTAATTTCATTTAGGTTTAATCAATAATAAGCATCGAATTGAAAATATAAGTATATTATAATATATGTAGTTCAATATATATAAAATAGTTAATAGATAAAAATTATCGTAGCACTGTACGTTAGATATCAAACACGTTTATTCTACGTGTGCTTAATCGAGAAAAAAACGTAATCAGAACGTAAAATGCCGTTCGATTGATTTATTGATATGAATTTATTTCTTGTGTAGGTATACGTATTTTTATTTTATTAGTTTATTATGATTTATTTGAACAATACATTTTATTTTTCAAATATTTATAAACGTTGTTTTATCAAATGCATTACGCTCGTGTGTACAGTTAAATTTAAATGTAAATGCTTGCCATAAAAAATAATAATAATAATTATAAAATATTTAAATAACGATAAAAAAATAACGATTATGTGTAGACAACATTAGTCGCGTATACGTATATAAGTATAAAATCATTTCATGGCATGTCCCAGATTAAATGGGACTTATGATTATCGATTAATATGTACTATATAGTAGGTAATACGAAAGATAATAAATTGCATGGACTTTATCAAAAATTGAATACTGTATTGGTTATTTTTAAATCTTCACTTTCGAAAGAACTCGCTATAAAAGCCACTCATATATTATAATAATTTATAAATCTCATAATATTATGTAGTATGTAATTGATGACGTGATATTTTATTTTGGCCATATATATATATATATATATATATTATTATGATATATGGAACATAATAATTTATCATAATAAATGTATATTATAGTATAATAATATATGATTTATAATTTATATCAATCTTAATAAAATATTATTTTTCTAGTAGCAACATACAGTTTTATGCATTTTATGATCAAGTAAAGTTATTCTTGCAATAGTCATGTTGGTACTGAGTTTTGTCCCAAGTGAAAATATTGTTTTGTTTTTACGTACTTTTATTTTAAATTAGGAAATATATATTTGTATATTTTGACGTTATATAATTTACCGTTATTATTTTTATCATTAACGCATTGTTTTTGTATTTGATTTTAATGTACGTTTAAGTAATATAGTACATACTTTTATTCTTTCAGAAAAAAAAAATATTTAAAAATAAAAGTAATCCAGTCGTTTCTATAGTAACGTGTGAAAAAGAAAAAAAAACGAATCTTATTAAATAAAAAAAGGGCGGATTCACATACCACCTAAATGCACTTCAAGACACTTAGATCGACTCAAAACGTTTTACGGTTATTCTGTACTATCGGTAAAAAATCTTTTTTGTCGTTCAATTTTCTAAAATTCTCCATGAATAGAATATAATTTATATGATATGTAACTATCAACTATCTGATCAATTAACCTAAAACGATGAAAACTCGTATCTTAAAAGATAATTTATTTACGATAAGATAAAATTAGAAGGTTCACGGAATTAAAATAATAATATTGACTTAAGTACGAAAACATGAACTTAAAAAATGCATTAACTCAACAAGAGACTAATGTTTAATGCTGAACAACTGAATTTAAAATGTAAATGAAAATCATTTATTTTATACTTAGACATAATAAAAAATCTTCATCATCGCATAAAATTTAAAATAATTTACTAATAATTTCGATTTCGATAAATCAATTTGACGTGTCAGTTCTTTTAACGTACATAATAATTAATTATAAAATCACTTTAATCATCCCTACAGAATATCTTGTGTATGCGAATTCTGTTGGTACATTTTTCATTTTTAAATAATAAAAGAATTTAAACAAAAAATATACAATATTGCGGTGCGTGTATTGACGAATGGTTTGAAAATATAAATATATCTATATACATATTTACACGTATATTAGCGGTGTTAACGATTGTGTTCGATATGCTTATAATTTATATTCTCCTAATAACATTTCCTATAATAAAGATTAAAACGCTATGTCGGCGCATTATCCAGATACGCGACATCGATTCGATTAAAATTCATTGTTCGTCATTCGAACGATTCACTTGTATTTCGCGAACTGTGGTGGTCAAAACACAAAAGTACAACTATTAAGCTATACTTGTAGCACAAATAAACAGCTAGAAAGAATTTAGGGAGAGATCTAAAGATCAAAAATAATGCGACGGTCGGACGGATTGCGTATTAATCGAATGTTAATCGAATGTTACGTATTTTCTCGCAGTTCTCCGGATTCGGATGACACGTATTACGGCGATGACTCCGAGGAAGGCCGTGATGACCAGTACCTGGTGTCTGATAGGTGCGAGAACAAGTTCTACGGTTCCGTGCACGGAGGATCAACGGCCGGATCGACGGCCGCGCCCGGAGGATTCAGTGCGGCCAGCGCAAATATCACTAGATCCATCAAGGTATAATACCGGGCAGGGATATGGAAAACAATAACGAAGAACGTGTCGAAAAATGCCTTATTTCATATCGCTAACGATTAATACATCGTTAGGCCTATTAACTGTTCGTTGGTGAGCAATACGCTTTCTAACAGCGTATATACTATGTACACCAGACGAGTGTACTTGGTATCGCTTATAGTCAATTTTTAATGTTGTTTTGAAATCGTTTGCACAATAAAAATCATCCGAACGGTTTTACACATCCTAGGTACGCGCTCGAAACGGTTATTATTTCGTTGAACGGCATTTTTATGGTCGTTTCGTTGTTATACTCTGTAGACATTATCGTGTAATACGAAGATCTATAAATGGACGTGATTGACTACTTTCTCGACTGAAAAATGTTCAAAAAAAAAAAAAAAAACCGTAATTTATAAAATTATCTAGATAGTGAGAATTATTCATATTGCGAGATAATGTGGTCATCGTATCACGCAACGTGACGTTCAATCGAAATACGTTGTACAGTTAACCTTACAATTGTCTTACAATCCTAAAATTTGAAACTATAAGCAAGTAAGTCCATACTTGGACGAATCAATACTAAAAAAGTAATGAATTATGGTTTAAATTGAATACGAAACGTGTTCAATTTTTCCTTGTTTCGGCGATCAAACGGGATTTTGTATAGGTACGTTTTCAGTGTTCATTTTGAAAAGTTTTTTTAACATTTTTCAGTTTTTCCACTTTCCAAGAGTAGCATTTTTATAAACCAAAACAATTGACTACAGCAGTCTCCTCCGTAAGCTTTCCTTTAACCACATGGATTAAGATTCATCACGAAACTCACGACTAAATGGTTAATCTCTATCAGATGACATTGAGATTATATAATTATAATAAAAGACGATGGCAGAGGTTTACGGGCACACTGGTATATAGTACCGTTTTGCTTACACGGAACAATACAGAAGCGACAACAATCTTAATCACAGACTATTGTGCGTTTGGCATTTCGATGTCACAAATGAATTCCTTAAAAAAAGTAGTCATTTTACTGTCACGATTAAGCTTACAGTGTTTGTTCGTTTATTATTGTTCATCACGTTATGCAAATAAAAGTTTATGATAACACGACTACAATTTAAAATGCATCAGTTTACAATACTTGAAATGTTGATTAATAGTCGTGTCGGTAATACAACCGTGTTCAAAATGTAGGTTCTCTTAGTTTTCGAAGTCACGAAATTATGTCAGATAAAAGAAGATGTTTGTTAAACTTAGGCTTGGTAATATTACGGCTAAACGCTGATGGCATCTGCATTCCATTTTTATGCAGACCTGCCTACAAAGTCGTTTCATTCTTCATGAATTCTTGGAATAACATTTTTAGTATGCATTTTTGTTAGTCATAGGTATGAATTTTATTTTATTTTCTCTTCGTTATTTCATGATTTTAAATATCAACTATGCATTTCTGGCGGGTTTCAACGTTTTGAAATATTTTTCGTTTAACTAATTGTTTTCATTGGTTTTCACATATTTCTATTTATCAACTATTATGTAATATTATTTAATACACTAGATTTACTCCGAAAGATAATTTAATCTAAAATAAATATCTCTGTATTCATAATTTAATTCTTCTACACAACGTCATTTTTTTATTATTACCCCTCTTGTTATATTTATGGGTTTTTTTAAACGTCAATATGATATTTTTTAGTTTATTTTTGTCAAAAAGTCATTAATTATATTTTTATAATTTTTACTTAAAACGTTTTATTATTTGTAGTTTATCATAGTACGAAACTTACATTATTAATATAATATATTAGAATTGTTTAAATATTGAGTATAAAATGTTGCAATCAATACTCAAATACTATAATTAATTATCTACAAAAGGTGATATTCAAACGAAGACAACGTAGGATTGGTCAGATGAATTTGAATTCTTTTTTTTACATCTATATATTTTCACCATATTCCTCCTGGTTTCGTATACAATTTTCAAACCATAAATGTTCTTTTTAAAAGCAATATTTTTATAACAAAGTGACACAGTACACGCACGGATGTTATTAAAGTATATGAACAACTTATTTATTGAACTAATATTTTTTTGCTCATAAGTCCGTTGCCTCAAAGATTATTTTTTACGGTAAAGGGTCCATGTGCCACAAAAGGTTAAGAACCGCTGCAGGTACAATAATGATATTTCGCTATCAGTCATTTTTGTCTCAGTACCGGAGAACGATATCGTAATAAACATTACTTCCCCATTTTCAGGCGGCTACATATTTGTGTCCGGCCATATTCCCGTGGGTGGACATGGGACCAGCTACTGAGGAGAGCGGAATGGTGGTCCTGAAACTGGTTGGCGTGTTCTACGTGCTCATCATCGTATTCGACGTGCTGTTAGTGTTCGTGTCGGCCGAATCGTCCACTTTCGTTTATGTCTTGTTGTATGCCCTGTTGATCGTGGTGATCGCCGTGCTGGGCGTCATATCGCGTAAGCCGCAAAACAAGTAAGTATCCTCATGGGGAATAAACTTATTTTTCTCGACCCTGTATTGCCGACTTTGGGTGTGTTGAAAATCAAGTTAAAAAAATATATGATTTTACATAATTTGAACAATGCACAAATGAGGAACTTTACGATTCGAAAAATGTATTATAGTAAATGTTGCAATGCATTGATTGAAATTTCAAAAATAAACAATATAATTAATTAGGTTAGTACGAGTAGACCTTTCGTTTTTTAATTTTTCAAAAACACATTAAATGTGGCTGAAATCATTTGAAATAGAAAAGAAATTATTAAAATTCGATTTAAACGACTTAGTACGATTACACTTTATTTATGTTTAACAGATATTTCGTACAAGTCTTAAAAAAAATCTTTATGTTCTCAGACTACAGACTACTATTATGGTTTTGTAAACATAAAACATGCATAATGTATTTTATGAAAATATTATTTATAATTATTGTTCATATGTTCTAAACTAAGAACAAAGTATAAATACATTACTACAAATACGTTTCAGTTTTTTTTTTTTACAAATTAAGTACATGTATCATTAAAACCGTTGTCGAAAATAAAAAACCTCATTTAAAAAAAATAACCATTAGTTTTGGAAATAAAAAGAGCATCACCTTCTTTGGTACAATATAATGGTATAAGTTTTTAAATTTAAATTCATTAATTATCACATTTTAAAACGATCTCTAATGGAACTTTGGTAACATTTTAGCTTTTGTAAATAAACAAAATATAATAATAAACAATATATATATATATATATAAACAATAATATACAACAATTTTTTTTTTATTATTCAGCTTATTTTTATGAGTTATATTTTAAAAGTTTTTGATTGAAAACTTTTATATTTACAATTCCAAAAATAAATTACTTTAAAATTTTGATAAACTCTAAGTTATATGAATATTTTGAAGATAAGATTTATTCTTCATGCACTGAAAAATAGTTGTTAAGATAAAATATGCACCAGTATCATCTTCGTAACTACTATTCAGGGTATCGTATATGAATTTATTTTTTCATAGTGTAAAATAATAAAGAGAATATTGTGGATTCTATCTTAAACTCTACGATATTTCTTTAATTTACTTACTGTCAGGTATAAAGAGGTTTATAAAATTGTAATGCAAGGAGGATGTAATAAAATATAAATTGAATTTTCCTTAACTTCCTTTCACATAGCATACCACTATGCATATAGATATGCCGTTCTCATTTTTTTCTAAATTTATTGCAATTCTTTTATTATCAAATTAATCAATCATTTTGCATGTGGTATAGTTGAATAACTATTCAAATTTAATTTATACTCATACGTCTTAATATACCTATTGTCAGTACTTGAAAAGAGAAAACGTATGAGGAAGGAAGATCCTTTTAATTTTAAAAATATTTTAGCGTACCGCTTCTAATTTTTTTTTACGAGTCGCCAGGAACAGGACTCATTTTTTAATTTTATTAGATAAATAAAAATAAAAAAAATAAAAACTTGTCATTTTAAAAATTGTTATTCTGTTATGAAAATAAAAATAATAAGAATATGAAGTTGAGAAATGTAATATGTTTATTTATAGAATAAAAATAACCATCACCATATCGTAACCGGGAACGGTGCTAATGGGAACCGTTAAACGGGCCTACACTATCTGTTTTAATGAAAATTTTAATCGTATGTGTTTAACAATACAATTTTCATTAAACTAAAATAATACCCATACACATTCGTTCTTAAAATACTGTTTTACCCCTACGCATTTTCGTATACAACCGTGAGACGCAAATTCCATTTTTATAAATATTATGGTTTTTTTTTTTTTTTTGTCTTGTTGCGTACATATTCAAATATTGAGTGAAAAAGTATTCAATATATCATTATTTTAAGTTCAGTACACCTATTTTTCCACTTTATAAATACATATATTTTTAAATGGCAATTGGAAAAATTGGTATCTTAATGATTGTAACAGTTTAAATGAGAAAAAAAAAAGAAGTAAACGTTAAAAATGGACAAAAGATTGGTTATTTAAAAGAAACGCACTCTTGCATAATATTTTACTAAATGAGCTGCGCTCAGAACTTTGATTGATAAAAGAAGCAAATGTTCGAAATACCCACGCTTTTGCCAATCCCCCTCCACATACTATGTATTTATTACGAATAATATTTTATAAATAATAATATGGTGACGATAGCGTTAGAAGACCGGTAAACAAAATTTCATATTAACGAAATATAAACAGTTTAGGGATTTAGAGAAGCTAAAGAAGATATTCTTTAAAAATATCTACATTAAACCCACTTTTAATTGATATTTCAAATATTGTTGTATGTATGTGAAAAATAATTTAGTTCCATGACTATTATAGTAACGCCTAAAAGAAATGCTCTAATTTCTAAACACAATGCACATAGCACCATTAGTATTAATCAGTTGAGTTGGAGCACTTGTTTAATTGTTTAAACCAGACCAGTATGCAAAAAGATGAATTAAATTAGGTGAAATAAGTGCAGAAGAAACAAGATGCCCAAAACGAGACAAACATGACATTAATAATTCCTATCCATATTTATTAACATATTTAAATTTATAAAATGACTAAATGATTATTTTAATCAAACTATATATTATTTTAAACTTAGAATTTTAAATTAACTGGTATTCAACTTTAAAATTCAATAACTAAAACGTATTTTTATTACAGCTTTAAAATAATCCCTTTACTACAAAAATAACAAAAATAACGGATATTTATTTTATGATTTTTATGGTAAAGATGGTTTTTTTTTTTTATATTAAACTTACCATATCATTTTAGATGCAAAATAATGTATTTCTTATATTAGAAATGATTAGAAAAACTTAGCATTGGCATTTAAATATGTTTTTACATTTCGAAATATATTATAATCTAGAATAGATGGATTACAAAAGTTCATTGATATTATAAGAACATTATAACTATTCAAAAAATACTTTGGTATTTTAAAACTAATAAAACATTACATTAAATATTAACGCTTTAATTTGTTATACATTATTAATGTATTGTTATTTTATCGAATAAAATAAATCCATTTAGAAATATAGTGATCGATGAATTGTAATAAATAAAATAAAAGTATCAATTTTTAGCATACTTATTATATCGCTTATAATAGAAATGGGAAAACATTAATAGCATTATAAAATCTTAAATTACCAATTAATTTAATTATAATTTTCTGTTTGATTTTTAGACAAATACTTGTATTCAAAACACCTTGGGTTCCATTTGTACCAGCATTCTCAATCGCCGTCAATCTATATTTAATATTTCAGCTAAGCTCAATGACTCTACTGCGGATTGTCGTATGGGTCTCAATTGGTATGTATTTTTTTATAGATATTTTACATTAATTTGTATGTGTATTTATAATGAAATATAATAATATTTCAACTATCATTGAAAATGTTAATGATTTAAAATATTAAATCGTTAATTTTTTTTTATTAAAATTCTAGTCAATTTTAATTTTAAATTCACCAATAAAATGAAAATAATTTAAAACAACTGTAGTAGGTACGTTTCAAGTCAATGTATACCCTTATCAACTATTGCATGTCTAAGAAATATATATATATATATATATATATATATGTATTATACTTATTTGGTATACTTGCGATATATTTTACAATTACGGGTTTATTATGATTACCCGTAGCAAAAGCTACACGCATAATATTATTATGATATTAAGTATCATTTGGAAAAATATCAAAGTAAGAAACTAAGAAATTGGAATTATATATACTCTTTTTGGACACGTTGACAAATACGCATATAATGTGTTTTCCGTACCTACTATTTTAATTTGTGATTTTATTATTTAATATAATATTATGTATCTATGAAAAATCAATAATAATAGGTAAAAAAAAATATAAAACAGACGCATTAGAACATACATTATATGTATGTTTTATAAATATTATACTGTATATACAACAAAAGATATATCGCGATAGTAATGATTGTGTTTTAATTACAGTTCAGTTTGGTTGAATTATATATGATAATTCAATTTTTCTAACGGAATTTTGTAACAGCTGATGGCTGGGATTTAAATTTTTAATTTATTAGTAGTATATCCGACGAAACAATTAGTATTATCAGCTTTGATAGTCTATGAGTAGTATTGAAAATTTGAAAATGTGGACATTTTTTCGAAATACATTCTAGTTATAAATATAATATATTTTAAAATTTTTATCTGCAAAAGTTATTAAAATATTATAAAAACAATTACTAATAATATTGTTCTGTTGGCCAAAAAAAGTTTTTAACATGCTGTTAAAACCTTTGAAAAAATTCTAACATCTTAATTAAAACTGTTTTAAAGCATTTTAATTTCTTGAAAAACATTTTAAAAATGTATTAAACATATTTATTTGCTGTATGAGTAAAAATTTGATTGAAAAAGTATCATAGTTTTTTTTTACTTCGTTTTTTGTCTATATCTACACGTATATCTATTAATAATAACACTTATTTTGTTTTACTTTGTCACATTACTTAAATTACCATTAAGTGTTAAACGTTAAACTTGCTATATATAAATTATATACATTTACCGTCAAAGTGGAATGAATGTGGACAAACGCTCTGTAAGGGTGATTTGTTATATTCGTTAATGAAAATAATTAAAAAATTAAAACCTACAACACAACATACTATTAGATGTTATATAAGTTGGTATGCGATTTGAATATAAATTTAAATATAAGCCAAATTAAAAAGCCTATCACCTTTAGCATAAAATAAGTGGCGCAACAATACGACTACCGTAAACTCGTTTCCGAAACGGATCATTATTTATACGAATTGATAAAACATATGATTTATTATTGAATATTTAATTATTTAAAAATTAATCATATTTGAAATTCTGTTATTGACAATCGTAAGTCATTTATGATATTTTAAAAAATATTTAAATACATAATTTGTTTAGTTAAAATTCGTATGCGCATGCAATAAAAAGGAATACGAATAATATGAACATTTTGTTTTATAGCCAACTGCAAGTATGAGGACTTGGGTATGGGAATATGTGATGGTTTTTTTTTTACATATATCTATATTATAATAATATATATGACAAAATAAATATATATATTTTTTTTTTTTCAAGATAATATCTATAAATTGTGACCGCTGCTGTATATCGTGTTACCGACTGCAGTATTTGTCAATTCATCCTATCAAATTGATTGCTATACGAAATGTAAAAATCAAAAAATGTATAGTCAACAGAAATATGCATCGATTATAAATTAATAATATTACCATGATATTAATCATAATAAGTTAAAAATAATAATACACAATCGACGCTTAGAATATTCGTATTAATGGTCAACGTAAAAATAAACCTTTGATGAAATTACAATTGTACTATTTTTTTAATAAAATAATAAAAAATTTAATTAAAATTCAAATTTTTTAAATGGCTTATACTTGTAAATTAATATATAAATAAATATTTTATTTTTAGAATTAAATTAATATGCAAATAAAAGCTTAGCCTGGTTAGAATATCAATAATATTATAATAATATTTGGAATATTATTATATTTATAAAGTACAGCCGGTTTTGAATGAAAAATTCATCGTCAGGTGTATACTAAGTCAATAGAATCCCGACTGTATATGAAAAAAAAAAAAAAAAACATTATAAATTATTAAAAAAAGTCATGGTTTTATTTGTTCATATTCAGTTGGTTTATTCGGTTATTTTTGTCTTGGTATTAACTGCTAATTAAGTTTAGTTCACCTCTCTACCTACGACTCCCCGATTTATGATGGATATTTAAAACAATATAAAAAAATAATTATTACCCTATTCAGCATCACAAGCATCTGTTCATGGTATGATAGTCACACAAATAATAGTCACACGATAATAGTATACATAAGGAGGTTATAGTTAATTGTTTACTGAATAATTGTTTTCAAAAATATAAAAGTGTTCAAAATGTAAAAGAGTTTCTTTATTTGTTTTCTCTTATAAATAGAGCATTTTATTATAAATAAAAATATATTGTACAGTTATAAAAAAAGTTTGTTTTAAAAGACACGGTAAACCGATAACACTCCCTCTGCATGCAACAAATCTACACGCAACTGAATTATGAACCATCCACCGTAGTTGTGTACAAACAATATAAATACTGTGCATAATAAGATCATTGAAAAATTGGCAATATTAGTCATTTTTGAGAGCTTATTTTCGGTTTTATGTTTCGAATAGAACACTTTTAGAATCGAATGTTTACATAAGAGTACTTGAAATAGGTACTGGTCGTATTTTAATATTTTTTTTGTATTATAATTGTAATGTAGGAACAATTAAAAGTATTCTCGAATTAATTTAATCACCATACATAATGGGATAATTTATATTATACTCGTATTTGACCATGAGTCGATATACAAACAACATTTACATTTATTTAATTATTTTAGTATAACAGTTTTGGTGTTCTTAAAGCTTAATCAATATGACCGGTTTACTTAACCCATGAAGTATTTAAAATAAAAAGCAATTTATTTTAAACACACAAACGATGCGTGGCACATGACAGTTTATTTTTCATTTTTTACAAGCGCCTTTCATTAAAATTCTTAACAAGGCATGCTCAAGTGGCTATTGTTCTGTCCAAGACTGCAGTATTGTTTGCAGTTTTCAAAGAGGTCCACCAATATCGTATTTCATTTATAGTATATTGTTTTATGATTTTTTTTTTTATTATTATTCATTTTGGTATAAAAAATTATTAGGTTTTGCTAAAAGGAAGTCTTATGGAGATATAGGGTTGTCTAAGATTACACATTTTATTATTACACATTGACAACTTGGGTTCACAATATTAAAAATTAGAAAAATTAAATTTTATTAAGGTATTTTAATATGGTACCTATATATTTTTAGATTTAGTTGCATCGTATTCATATCGAACCTAGCGGTAAATATACGTATATTTCGAACAAGAAAATAACGACCACATCAAATGGGATTTAAGATAAAATAATTTGACTCTCCGAGAAAAAGGACCTTTTTTGACAGCCATTGTTTTTTTACCGATCCAAGGAGTTGTTAGCTACATATCTAATGTTGACTATATGACCGTTCATGGGGTAGGATTGGTTACAATTTTTTTTTTCGTTTTAAGTATGTATGTGATAACCAGTTTCAGATATTGATGTTGAGGAGGTTAAAATCATCGTACAGTTTTATTATCCGATATATATATATATATATATATAACATTTTCTTTTTTATAATTTTATCATCTCATAATGTCTTGCCAACACGTTTTCCAGGCCTGTTCGTTTACTTCTATTACGGCATCAAACACAGTACGTTGGAAGCACCGGTGGACGAGGACGAGAGAATAGAACTGAAAATTAAGTCACAACCGAAACCGCAGAACCGGCCGCAGGTGCCGCCGCCGACAGTGAAGACAACCCCCGTGGCCTCCTCCACCGCGAAAGTTACCTCTGCCACCACTGCTGTAGGTGTCGTAGACGAGAAGGCCGAACCGAAGAGGCCTACCAACTTGGAACCGTTGCCTGCGAACAATGACAGCAATTTGTTCGTGTCACCGTCCGCTTTTCCGAAATGGGAGGATTAGATTGACTGACCACATATAAAATAAAAAATTAAAATAAAAAAAAAAAATTAAAAAATTTAAAAAAAGATAAAATAAACAAATAAGAATCAAAAATCTGACGGACTCGCTTTCCGAGACTTCAATGATTATTGTAAATAGGGATGTAAAAAATGATTATTAATAAACGATAGATAATAATTTCTTTGGACTACCAAAATGACTATACACGATATTATTATTACTATTATTGTCAATACGATAAATGTTATTAATACGTGATACGTATAATTTTTTAACTACCTATATATTATTATTATAAATATTATTCAAAGTCGATATACTATATTTTGATTGTTAAACGTTTAAAAGAGTCCTGAAATAGCGGATATAGAAAGCTTTTTAAAAATCCGTCGAACGACTTTTTTCGTGAATTCCATGCATTACGTTTTTGCGCTGTTATTTAGAAACTTGCGATCTTAATTAATATTTAACCCGCGTTAGCAAATATTAAATTTAAGTAGATCACTTAAATTATATATAGAGATATCTTTCTGTAAGTTTAATTATTTAAAATAGTACAAAACCTTACGCTTTTTTAAATAATAATATTCAATTTCATATTTTTTATTTAGTGTAATTAGTTAATAATTTGAAGTGTGTGTATACAAGTAAAATGTAACAACAAACCAAAAAAATAGCTTATTAATGGAATGATTCGTTTTATTTAATACAATTATATCAATATTATTGATGAAATATTTATTTATTATATTTTAATAAAAAAATTTAACTGATTAAATTAAATAAACTCACGACACAACTTGAAACATATATTTTTTTCGTCTTAATTTGATCAAAACTATTAATCTTTGATATATTTATATATTTACTATACTTAATAAACTGAGTAGTAAATAACTCTTGTCATTTAAATGTTTCGTGCTTTCAGTAAATGTGTATAGTCCGGGTAAAACACAACTGTATAAAATCATAAATTTAAAGTATTTAAAAAAGCAGTCTGAAAAACTGTCACCAAATTAAAATGTTCAGTGGGGTTAGACAGTTCAAAGTGGTTTATATTTACGTATTCTATACAGGAAAGAAAATGTTTAATACATATAATTATAATACTCATTATAATAACGTTTTCCTTCAAGCCCTTTAGAAATTTGAAAGCTACTTACATTTTATCATGGCCAATTCTGAAATCGCTTCTTGATCATTGTGATCTTTTCCGTAGAAATTGAGCACATAATATTGTAATTTATAAAAAAAATTCAATAAAACGTTAACCAAACAATATTTGTTTGTTTTATTGTTGTGGCAAGACTGGTTTTATCGAATTGTAATAAAAAATAATAATTTTGAAGTATATTAAATTTGTTAAATAATTATATTTATATTTGATTGTTTAGTACGTTCCTTAGAGGTCATTAATAAAAAATAATTGAAAATTCTTAATTATAATGTAGTATTAAATATATGGACTACTAACTTCTGAAAATTCTTTAAAAAAATTAGAATATCAAAACACGCAATATATATTCATACGAGTATCTATTCTACTTTTACGAGGTAAATGTCCAAAATATGTTATCTGCTGATGACTGAATATTATCATATTCCAATAACGTAGTCATTTAACATTATATTTATTATTATTATTATTATTCATACATACCACTCATTATCGCGTGAAAAGATATTTACATTTATATTAATTGAAATTTACTTCCACAAATTATTAGGAAAATATTATAGTGTTGTTTACAATAATTTATAAAATGTATAATACATACGCTTTCGAAACGGACGTTATTCAGCGGGAAGGTTTTAATATTTTACCCACGTATAAATAAAAATAATGATAATATATTAATATTTTATATATTAAATGATTGGCTGTATACATTTATATAATATCTATAGGCCATTAATATTATAGTTATAACCAAAATAATTGATTTTCTTTTTTCTTAAAATTATTTTACGTGCCTTAATAGTACATCAAACAAATATTAAAATAGTGAAATAAATAACGTACTTAATGTTTATTGTAACATTTAAATTTTTTTCAGAAGTCTTGTTTCTATTTGGATAATAATTTTAAATTAATTAATTAATTCACTACTTTTAAACAGAATTCAAACAATGCACCTATTACATACAATATTGTACACTATATAAACTATTGTTAATTAGATTTTCTACAGTTAATATCACAGTGTCATTTACTAGGACGCTAATTATTTGACAACTATACGCATATATTTTGTTAGGTTACCATTATATTAATTATCATTATTATTATTATTAATGTTATTATTATAATTCTTGGTCTTAAAATTACGTTTATTGTAACTATTATTATTATTATTATTATTATTATTGTTTTTTTTTATTATTATTGTTCATATCAAATTTGTTATTTTTATATCATGTATTGTTATCGTTGCTATATTTACTTTTAAGTACAAAATTAACTCAATTGTTTTTTCTGACGTCAAAAACGATCAAACAAGTGAAAACATTTTTTGTTACCGGTTCAATAAGTACGTATTGCACTTTTTGAATCCGTAGCGTCTCAACAACTAATAATGTTATCAATGATTTGATCATGATTTTGCACAGAACTTTATGCAATGTTTTTGCAAAGTTGTTTAAGTGTTTTAAAATATCACAGTTATAATTGACTTGACATATATTTATTTTATTATTATTTATATCATGACTCTTATTTTTAATATTGTTTTATATTTGTGATTTTAAATGTACATCCCTGTAGAGTTTGATTCGATACAAATGGACGAGAGGAAAGCTTCTTTTTTTATTTTGGCACATAATTTTAAAAGTTTTGTAGACGAATTTATCATTATATGATTTCGTAAAGTCATATATTATAGCAAAAAAAAGTAGTTCTTTTTGTTCTTCAAAAAAACATAAATTTTTTTCTCAAATACATTTATTGATAATATTGAATTCGCTTGTGGTACATTTACTCGCTTTCGATTACTGTATAATATTTATTCTTAAAATAATAATTATTGATAAAAATACTAACCAATGCGATCCACTCGTTAGTCAACGATGTCTGAAGCAGTAGATTACAACAAAAAGTTTTATGCAAAACAGTATTCTTTCATTTATTCTTCAAAACAGTATTCTTTTGTTATGGCTATTCTACATATTTGTTTCGATTCGAATGACATTCTGTTTATAAAAAATCAATATAACTGTATGTATGACGTTATTATTTATCTAAACAGTTTTTTTTTTTTTAATAATTTAATGTACGGATATTCAAATATTTATTATTTCCTCAAATAACGTACTCATATAATAGTATATAATATTATTTTAATGCAAAAATATAGCTGCAGTTATGTGCAAAAATGGATACTTTTAAATGGTTTATTGGAAATCAATTGAAAGTATATTTGATTTATATTTTAATTTTTTTTAATTCTCTGTATATTTATATATTTATAAAAAAAATATGTACTTTGTTTTTTCTGTATTGCATTTAAAAAAAAAAAAAATTATCGAACACTTCAGTTTAATCTGACCAGATTATTTATGTATAATATTATAGTATCGAATTAATTCTTCATTGTCCTTAAACATAAGATTGATGTTTTATTCGTACTCTAATGATTATAATTTATTGGTTATATAACTTAAGTATTATTACTATTATTATTATAATCTTCACAAATTTATACATACATTGAATATTGTTTTAAAAAATAACAAATTTGATTGTGTATTATACATACACAAAATTATATGTTGTTAACTTTTAATCTGTTTATCTTTAATTTATTTTCTTTTATTATATTATTATTATTATTATTATTATTATTATTATTATTATTATTATTACTATTATTACGTCTTCTATCAGACTTTTGAATGTTACCTAATATAATCGTTAAATATTATAAATAATAAAAAAATCTAAGAAACACTATTTTGAAATATTTTATAAATACTCCCATGCTTTGAACTTTTCATCGATTAGGTACGTAGTTTTTATTAAATAATCAACTTTATTCATTGATCACATCAAACATGAGTAGATCTAAGAAATACTAAACTCTGATTCATAATGACACCTCATCGGCGTAGAACTTTCATTCCTTTCGGTTGGTTTCATTTATATTTTCTGTATATTTTGCGCATACATTGTATATATTTATTTATTTTTCATTTTTACGTCCATCACGATATATCTCGTTTAAATGTTGGTACAATACAGTTAATTGTTCTAGATAATATGTACAGAATTAATGTATTTGTTCATCAATATACGTCGAGTAGTTAGGTAACCACTTTAGTTCGATGATGTCAGGTTTTGAACTTTCAATCGACGTAAAAATTTAAAACCGGTAATTAATTTTGTAATCGCACGAAATTATGCTTTTATTTTATTCCCCCCATGTTTTGAGTACTGTTTGATTAGATGAACAGAAAGAATAAAACAATAATACAGTTCATAACAATATATTGTTCGCGCGCGTATAGGTTACAATTACAATTTCGTATTGCACAACACCTTAAGACGCATCTCGATAACGATAACGGCGGTACTGTTTAGTGTCGTATGTTGCTCGGAAAAACTTCAATATGCGATTGTTCACTGTCGACGAATCACGGCAGTTGACGTTTTTCCGACAACCGTTTGATCTCAGTCGGTTCTCTGTTCCAGTTTCGTATCGGAACGCGCCCTTCCGTTTGTTGCGGCAGAAGAAGGGAAAAAAGGCCACGCGCCGAAGTCAATTGATCCTCCTCGTCGTCGTCTCTGGTATCCAATGTCTCGTGTCTGATGTTCAATGTCGTATCCACTAATCATTCGAGTCACTACGGGTTAATTAAATGTTGTGTCCGGTGTGTAATGTCGTGTCCGGTTTTTGATTTCGTGTCCGATGAAGACTAGTCGGCCGGGGCGGCCACCCGGATGACATTCACCCGGGCGTTAGTCGACTACCGAAAGTCGAAGTTCACCACGTTCGTGGCCATGCACCCTTGTTTGGCCACGACCTTGGTGGACCACATGGCCACGGACCGGATGCTGACGTTCTCGCTACCGACGTGGTCGTTCGCGTCGTGGTTGGCGCACGAACCGGTCACCACGATCGTGGTCAAGAGCTGAACGCAAGCCTTTACCGTGTCCGGTGTTAGTACGGTCGTGTCGCTCCCTGGTCGCATCCCGAACTCGACCTCCCAAGTGGGATGTCGATTTCGTGTGTCGTAAACTAATCCGGAGGAGCGATCACCACCATTTCGGACATGAGAAGGTCCGTCGAGTTGACCTCGATGGTAATAGACGCGCAGAGCGTCTCGGTGGCCTGAAGACTAACCCGTGGCACTGGGGCTGACACAGATCGAAATCCGTTAGCGATCACCTCTGTCCTTATACACCGTTTGTGTGCAAACGTCCGTCTGTTAACTGTGAAACGCGCACATACAGCGCACGGCATCATAAGAAAAAAATACTATGTAGTGCGTGTGCGAAATTAACTAAATGTATTTTTATGATAAACGAT